CTCAAATTTGATTAATAAAGTATCTATCTGAAGGGGATTTTAAAAGTATGAATTTAGGTACTAATAGTACACATTTATGTTAAGGATTGAGTGAGATATTGTATTTTCTTTGTGTTTTTCAACTTTGTGACGAAAAAATCACGTGATCTTGCCATTCTAAGGAATTATGCAAGCAGCAGTAATATTTCGGTATGTTCAGACTGACTGCCTAATGGAGTGGTGACATAATCCTTCCAGCTAACGCTCATGTCACTCTACTAAGGGCCTATGTAGCCTTGTATCTATCCATCTGAGGCCAGCCTTCTACAACTGTTCTGTCTGTAAAGGTCACACGTGATGTACAGCCAAATACGTCCTTCCGAGTGTCTTTTATGCCTTTAGAAAGGCTACGTCTGCCATCTGGTATCTACAGCAAATCCATGTTCACATACAATGATGTTGAGGTACACGACGGAACAGATATTCAGCAAAGAAAAAAGAAGAAAAGTAATGCAGGAAGCATAGAACGGTTCTGCTATCTGGTCCGCTCCGTTGTCTCATCCTCAATGTATCTTGCACTACCGTGTATTTCGAAATCAATCAGTCAGCAGACTCAGTACGTTCCATGTAACATATGGTCATGATAATGCTCTTCCTCCCCTTTCACAACGTTTCTTCTCTGTTTTAACCTAACTTTAATAGTAGTTCAGCATGGTGATACCAATGCTCAAAGCATTGTGGACAAATGATGACAACATGTGTGAGGTGCCTATCAAAGCGTGCACGTTCATATAAAGACCAAGTATTCTCGCGGTGTGTCTTCTTTGCATCACATGAAGACCTAAATACTTGATTTCCTGATTTTGTCTCTGGGGATAGCGTTTACTTCTCTAAAACATCAGTCCGACTCAATCGCACTGTGCATGTGAAGATCACTGCAGTGATCAATCGGCTATAGTCAGCTATTAGTCAATGTCCCGATTTCTCCCGCAAGAATTGCCACTCACCTTGCGAGCACCACTCATGACGAGTTATGCCTGACCTCTCAAAGAACCGGAACCAGTTCGCTAAAACGTGTCATTGGTTATGATCCTTGGAAGCCGCGACTGACAATGACTCGACATGACGACTACGCTCGGCTGCGGAGCATGTCCAGCTTAAGTACCTGTTTAAAATGACAAGAAACGATGGCACTTAAAGCTTCAAGGCTCCAGTGCTCCTTAGTTTCTGCAGACTTACTTGGACACGATGCAGTCTCCAAAAGTCCTTATTGTCGGCTCTGGACCCGCAGGTCTTATTCTTGCACTTTCACTCTTGAAGAACGGGATACCAGCTCGAATTATCGAGAAAGATGCTCAGCATCATAATGGAGAGCGCGGTGCTGGAATAATGGTGGGATACTATCTCGGAGCCGTTCTCATAATATCTGACTGCCTTTTCCTAGCCACGTACGATCGAAATCGAACAATTTCTAGGTGTCAGCGATGAAGTCTGCAAGCTTGCAGCTGGTCCGCCAATGATCCACATGTTCGATCCGAAGGATCCTTACCGCATCATACAGTCGTCAAAACTGGTGGTCGACGTCGAGCCGAACCCGGCTTTCCCGATTGTAGGCTGTCTATAATATGTCTCAGACCTCATTCTCAACTTCCTTTATAGACTCGACCAGTGCTCATTGGCCAATGGATCCATCAGGCCATCCTTCGCAGACACGTGGAGGCTCTTGGCGGGAAAGTCGAGCTCGGATCCACTTTCATAGGTTATACACAAGATGATGACGGTGTGACGGCAGAGATTCACAGAGTCGTAGACGGTGTCGAACAGACAGAGAAGGCTCGATTCGAGTATCTCGTGGGTGCCGACGGCGGTCGCAGTAAATCGAGTACCCAACTCGGACATTCAGATTACTTACTGCTATATCAGGTGCTGTGCGAAAGGCTATGGGAGTTGATTTTCACGGAGTAACTCGCGAAGAAGACAGGTTACACATTGTTGATGCCCGTGTGGAAGGTCTTGAGGTTGATTCTGTAAAGGCATTTTACTTGTCTTTATATGGTTGGCTAAAGTTCTTTTAGGATTTTCGTATCTGGGGTGACCGGAAGATTGCATCGTAGGTGTAATCCATAAACAGCGATATGCAGAAGTTCACTCATCTTCCACCAGGGTGGCTCTCAGACAAACAGCGGAGCCTGGTCTATTCCAGATGGGCTTTACCGGTCCCGAGATAAGACATGACTTCCTCAAAGCACATAACGACCCACAAGCAATCCAGGACGAGCTTCATAGGATCACAAATCGTACTGATCTCCGAGTCACTGGAATAAATTGGCATGGCGAATGGAGGCAAGTCAGATCATACATATTCTGCGTAAGAATGATTTTCACGAAATGGCTTAGGCCGAACATTCGTATGGCGGACCATTTCCAGGTTGGACGATTGTTCATCATCGGTGGTACGTTGCTTGTACACCGTCCAAGATTTCCTGCTTAGACCAGCCTCGTAGATGCTGCACACACACATTCGCCGACAGGTGGACAGGGATTGAACTCCAGTGTACAAGATGCTGTGCGTACTTCAACGTATTCTCTAATCTCATTGGAACACTAATTCCATGTTAGTTCAACCTTGCATGGAAGCTTGCATTATCACTTAAAGGAGCTGCATCGCCACGCTTATTAGAGTCTTACGAAAAGGAGCGCCTTCCTGTGATTGCGGAGATGCTCAAGCTTACGACCAAGTTGCTCGACCAACTCATTAATTCTGGAATCGATCGTGGGCTAACCGTTCAGGAAGCTCCCGAAAAGGGATCCAATAAAAACACCAGAGACGAAGGGTGGTTCCGCGACCGGAAGCTCTTACAACTCGATATACACTATCGCTGGAGTCCGGTGGTCGTTGATGAGCGTTCCTCACAACCTACTTTGAGCCCACTGGATGTATATGGTGCGATGACTAGTGAGAGAAGGGCTGGAGACCGTGCTCCTGACGCGCCAGCTCTTGTCGGAGCGAATGCCCCATGCCGACTTTTCGACATATTCAACCCAGCAATGCACACAACACTGCTGTTCGTAGCCGATCAATCCTTGATCGAGCAAGCAAGCGCGATCATCACCCCGTTTTCCTCGATTGATCCGGGATTGATACAGAAAGTACTCGTACTGCCTGCAGGCACTGATGCGTCGAACATATCAGCAAGTGATGCAAGGTATATTGTTGTGGACTCGCAAGGGCACGCATTTACAAATTACGGCGTAGATCCGTCGGAGAGTTCGCCGACGGTGGTTGTTGTACGACCTGATGCCGTGATTGGAGCATTTCTTAGGACGGAGGCTGGTACTCGCAAATATCTTTCTACCGTCTTCTGCACGGATCCTTTAGCCCATACCCTATTAGGATAATTTGTAGTTCTGTCATTTAAGTAGAATCCCAACTCAGCTGTTTTCATGCCGTCTGAAAGCATTAATACCATCGGAAATCGCCACACCTGCGTTAAAATATATCGGCTTATTGAAGGGTATATACAATACTGCTCGATTTGGAGATACTTTCCATGTCTATTTAGACTAGCTACCTAATCGGGCGGTGACATAATCTTTCCAGTCGCTGAAGCCACCTCAATTTTGCATTTATCTAACCAAGGTGAACCTATTTAACTGTTCTGTGTTACTGAATACCCAATTCACTATTTTATCTCATTAATTACTCGTGTTAATTCTACAGTTGCCCAGAATTTTATAAAAGAGTCATGTACAGGTGTACCCCTACTTGATTGCGTAATCCTACAGGCCTCAAGCGGCCTGTACACCGAAGGCAGAGGTGGTACTTGCAACGGGCTGCGCAATAGAGCCTAAGGTAGACAGGCACTATATGTACTCACTCACACTGTTACATTACAGCGTGGAGACTTTGTATTTTTTTCCTACAATTTGTGACCACAATCTGGGCGGTGTGCCGAAAGTGCCGATCCAGCCGTGGCCCATCAAGGATCGTCCTAACGTGAGACAGTTTTCGGCGGGCGTGAAGTTCGCTACCCGACATGACGACTGTGCTCGGCTGCAGGATACGTTGGGCTTGAGTACCTGATTTAAATGCCAATAAATGATGCCATCATAAAGCTTCAAGGCTCTAAGTGCTCCATAGTTTTTGCAGACTCAGTGCACAGACCCACGTAGACACGATGCAATCTGCCAAGGTTCTTATCGTTGGCTCCGGACCTGCAGGTCTTGTTCTCGCACTTTCACTCCTGAAGAACAGGATACCAGTTCGCATTATCGAGAAAGATGCTCAACATCATAATGGAGAGCGCGGGCCTGGAATAATGGTAGGATACTATCTTGGAATCATTCTCCTAATATCTGACCGCCTTTTTCTAGCCACGCACGCTCGAAATTGAGCAATTTCTGGGAGTCAGCGATGAAGTTCGAAAGGCCGGGACTGGTTTGCCAACGATCCATATGTTCGACCCAGCAGATCCTTACAAGTACCGTGTCGTACTGTCTTCAAAACTACCAACAGATGTCGAGCCAACCCCGGCTTTCCCGATCGTAGGCCATCTATATTTTTGATTCAGACCTCATTCTCAATTTCCTTTCAAGACCAAACCAATGCTCATTGGCCAATGGCGCCATCAGGCCATTCTTCGCAGACACGTAGAGGCTCTTGGCGGAAATGTCGAGCTTGGATCCGAGTTTATAGGTTGTACACAAGATGAGAATGGTGTGACAGCGGAGGTTCGTAAAGTCGTAGATGGCGTCGAACACACAGAGGAGGCTCGATTTGAGTACCTTGTGGGTGCCGACGGTGGTCGAAGTAAATCGAGTGCTCCGTTCAAACATTTAGACTGCTTATCGTTATTTAAGGTACTGTGCGAAAAGTTATGGGTGTCAACTTCCTCGGAGAAACTCGCGAGGAAGAGAGGATGCACGTTGTTGACGCCCGTATAGAAGGTCTTGATGTTGACTCTGTAAAGACATTCTACTAGTTTCCATATGATTTGCTAAAGTCTGTTTAGAATATTCGTATCTGGGGTAACCAGAAGACTGCAACGTAGGTGTAGTGCATAAAAGGCGATACGCAGCTCCCTCATTTTCTATCAGGGTATCTCTCAGACAAACAACGGAGCCTGGTCTATTCCAGGTGGTCTTTGCCGGTCCCGAGGCCAGGCATAACTTCCTTAAAGCACACAACGACCCACAAGCAATCCAGGACGAGCTTCACAGGATCACGAACCGTACTGATCTCCGGGTCACTGGAATAAATTGGAATGGCGAATGGAGGTGAGTTTAATCGTACATATTCAATGCAAGAATGATTTACGAATTGACGCAGGCCGAATATTCGTATGGCGGACCATTTCCAGGTCGGACGATTGTTCATCATTGGTGGTACGTTGCTTGCATAATAAGCAAGACTTCCTGCTCAGGCCAGCACTGTAGACGCTGCACACACACATTCGCCAACAGGCGGACAGGGATTGAACTCCAGTGTACAAGATGCTGTACGTACTTTCCCGGTTGTAGCGTATCGTCTAATCTCATTAGGATACCGTGTTAGTTCAACCTTGCATGGAAACTTGCATTATCAATTAAAGGAATCGCATCGCCAAGCTTATTAGAGTCTTACGAGAAAGAGCGTCTCCCTGTGATTGCGGAGATGCTCAAGATTTCGACCATTTTGCTGGACCGTCAAATTCAATCTGGAATCGAAGCTCCCAAAGAAGAGCCTCATAAAACTTCTGAAGACGGAGCGTGGATCCGCGACCGAAGGCTTTTGCAACTCGACATACACTGTCGCTGGAGTCCGGTGGTCGTTGATGAGCGTTTCCCACAGCCTAATTTGGGTCCGTTGAACGCATATGGTGCGATGACTGGTGAAACAGGAGCTGGAGACCGTGCTCCCGATGCGCCAGGCCTTCTTGGAGAAAACGCCCCAAATCGACTTTTCGACATATTCAACCCGGCAATGCACACAATACTGCTGTTCGTAGCCGATCAATCCTTGATCGAGCAAGCAAACGCGATCATAGCTCCGTTTTGCTCGATTGATCCGGGGTTGATACAGAAGGTACTTGTACTGCCTGCAGGCACTGATGCGTCGAACATATCAGCAAGCTTCTGTGATGCAAAGCATGTTATCATGGACTCGGAAGGGCACGCATTTACAAATTACGGCATGGACCCTTCGAATGAGTCACCAACGGTGGTTGTTGTGCGACCTGATGCCATGATCGGAGCATTCCTTAAGACGGTGGCTGGCACTCGCAAATATCTCTCTTCAGTCTTTCAGATGAATCCATGAATTACGATGATACCCTGTTAAGACGATTTTCAGTTTTGTTGTTTAAATAGAATCCCAACTCATAGAACCCCATCTCAGTTGTTTCCCTGTTCTTCGAATGTAGTACCATTAAAAGCAAGCGGATGCTCGCTGCGATTTGCCATACAGAAGTTGTGCACCAGCCAGATGGCTCATCAAGGTTGATGAAGTCTTGGTGAGAGTCACCTTGTTTCACGAGTTTTGAGTTACGTGCCTTTTACTATAGGACGTGTTTAGGTTAAGTCGTGCAGAAGTTTTCAATCACGTACATGTACCTGATGATACTTGTTACAGTTAAGTTTAGGTAAAGATAAGCAAAACATTGATCCTTCTGAAACAAATGATGCCAGTATTTTTGATCGCAAGTTAAGTCTTCATATATCCCTTTATCCGTGGCACTGTTCTGTATGCTTCCATTTGCTGCAAACTCACTAGGAAAGACGGGCGGATCATTCCTCCGATTGAGAAAAGGTATGAGGTATGTTTCGAAGCTTCGCTATGAAAAAGATGCACCAGTGCTGGCGAGGCACGTAGCGCTCTTCGACTATTACACGGACACCGACACATACCGACACAAATTAATATATATCTCTTTGACTGGTAGGTTTCGAAGTCTTGCATATCTCACATTCGTCATGATTCTTTCTGGTCGATCGAATGCTGAACCTGTTGATCCCAGTGCAATCCCACCATGGGTTCTCGACATGACAATGAGACAGTATTTTTCTGCCGCTGCTGCATCAGCATTAATTTATGACTCTCGTAAGCTCTGGCCCCATCTCAAAAGATAAGCATTGCATGCTAACTTCTGTATAAGTCATCACATTGGATTTGGAGGTAAGCTTATCTTTACGTTGTTACTTTATTTTATTTTGCAGTATGCCTAATTTGACTTCGTGCTTCAGGTCAAATATTTCTGGGTCTGTACAACTCGTAGCCTTGTGCCCTAAGACAACTAACAAGGTACATAGAAGAGGAATTCGTGGAATCTAGTAGATGTCATTTATTTCTTAGTGGGTACCAAACCAGCTTCTGTCAACTTAGCTGACATATGCAAAATGTAGAACCGATATGTTGGAATATTCGGTGCTGTTGCATACCTTCGTTGTAAGTCGCCTTGCATGCATGACTTTCCTAGATTGATTCCAACTCTACCTTATACATATAGTTAATACGTATGGAGTAAATCTTCCATTGTACGTTTTTCATCTATTGCTATGGTGTAATAAGGACTAATGATTTGAATAGATGTAAGAAAACACTATCTATATTTCCCTGTAATATATATTAACAAACAGAAGGTAACTTTACATACTGGAGCCGAAACCTTTCCAGTGGGTGCCTGTAGCCAGAATATAAGTTGCTTACTGAAAGATGTTCCAGACCTGGTTATCATTGCTTCAGTTGATTGCAAGTTGCTTCTTCATATTGTTTCAGAACACATCTCTAATTATTGGTTAAGACATCCTGATAATCCGTGTACTTGCACTCTACTCCCGAGGTGAGTAAATTTACACAGGCTTCTCAGTGATTATATTAATACATCATTAAGGCAGATGGCTATCGATTATATTGAATACCCTGTTTGCAATTGAGGTTGCAATCAAATTTGCGCTGTTCGTCTACCTCAATCTTGCAGAGAAACGTACGGGGATAGTCTCTTAGTTTACGCAGAAACTGACTTCAAAACAAGTTGCTGTGGCTGGGTTTACCGAAGACGTGACTGTATGCGGAGCCGATGCAGTTCCACCATGGCAATGGGGAATCGTGGTTTGGTGTGTACTATAATGAACTTACACTGCATCTCTCTGAGCTCGTAATAGGACGATTCCAATTGCAACTGGAGTTATACTTATGGCTTTAGCCCTATACAAAGCTACAGAATTCTGGAAGATGTCAGCAGGTTTCAGAGGATTCTCGCTTGTTAAGGTGCTTATTCAGGATCAAGGGTTTTATTTCTTCTTGTGAGTCTCCTATATTTGCATGTATTAAGAATAATTCATTAACAAACGCACCACAGCGCTATCATATTCTGCGTCTTCGACATGATGCAATACAAGCTCGCTGTCGAAAATATTTTTGTGGCAAATCTTCTGGCTTCGCTTGGCAATCCGATTTTTCTCTGCATCCTTGGGAGTAGGATGCTATTCAACTTGAAAGAAGCTGGTGAACTAGGTGTAAATGCTGGAACAAGTTATAGATTGAAGACTATATCTGTCGGTAACATCGGTTTCGCAGATCCCCATGTGCATAGCAACGATGTCTCTTTTGGGCAGCATAGGGCCCAGCAAGAAGGCAATGGGATGGTTTGAAGTGTTAACTAGAAGCTTCTATTCTCTAATTTATACATATACTAAGTCCGATAAAATTATTATTTGGAAGTGAACACAGACACTAGGAGAGCAGAGCCAGTCATCTCGATCGATGATCTTTTACAAGTCAATACGCAGATCAATACTCCACATTTAGCGATTAGTCATCTGCTCTGATTTTTCTGCCGCGCGGTTTACGCAAAACTCTGCCACCCACTTTTATCTGACCTCCGCCTCGACCCCGACATATCTGTAAAATACAGTGCCGAAATGAGCTCACTGACGAACCCCGGCGGCTGTCTTCTTTGCCGTGTCCAAGCTACATGCGTAATTAGCACGGCGACGAGAAATGTTGGGGGTAGAGACCTGTATAAATCTACAAGAAACGATGCGACACAAGTCGTCAACGCAATTCATAGTTTCCGCAGATACTCTTCTTAGGCGTGATGCAATCTCCTAGGGTTCTTATTGTTGGATCGGGGCCTGCAGGTCTTATTCTCTCCCTATCACTCTTGAAGAACGGGATACCGGTTCGGATTATTGAGAAAGATGCACAACATCATAGTGGTGAACGTGGTTGCGGAATAATGGTAAGATATCGTCTTTTTAGTCTTTGGATAGTATCCAACCACCCTTACTTTAGCCACGCACGCTCGAAATCGAGCATTTTCTTGGAGCTGGAGACGAAGTCCGAAGAACTGGGGCTTATCCACCAATGATTCACATTTTCGACCCGAAAGACCCTTACCGCATCATACAGTCTTCTAAAATGATGGAAGACATCGAACCAACACCTGCTTTCCCAATTGTAAGAGCTTTGTATCCTTGATGTAGGCGTTGAGTTCAATATCCTTTTAAGACACGACCTGCGGTTCTTGGCCAATGGCTCCATCAAGCGATACTTCGCAAGCATATTAAAGCTCTTGGCGGAAAAGTCGAACTAGGATCTGCTTTTATTGGCTGCACACAAGACGAGAATGGTATGACGGCAGAGATTCGCAAAATCATAGATGGTATTGAACATACAGAGAAGGCACGATTCGAATACGTCGTGGGCGCAGACGGTGGTCGAAGTAAACCGAATACTTGGTTCGGACGTTCAAGTCGCTTACCGTCACTACAGGTGCTGTGCGAAAAGCTATGGGTGTCAATTTCCGTGGGGAGTCGCGTGAAGAAGGAATGATGCACCTCGTTGATGCCCGTATAGAAGGCCTTGATATAGACACGGTAAAGGCGCCTTACTTACGTTTAATATTTTTCGTTGAAGTCTGAATGAAATTTAGGACATTCGTCTTTGGGGTAATCAGAGCATTGCAATGTGTGTTCATTCAATTAAGAACAATATCCAAATCTCACTTACCTTTTATCAGAGCGGCTCTCAGGCAAACGGTACTCCCTGGTCTATTCCAGATGAGCTTTTCCGGTCCCGAGGCGAGATTCAGCTTCCTTAAAGAGCACCACGACCCGCAAGCAATTCAGGACGAACTACACAGGATCACGAGTCGCACTGATCTCCGGGTCACTGAAGTTACTTGGCATGGCGAATGGAAGTGAGTCAAATCGGCCATGTCCTGTCTGAGAATGACGTTCATGAATTAGCTTAGGCCGAATATCCGCATGGTGGATCATTTCCAGGTTGGACGGGTGTTTACCATTGGTGGTACGTTCGCTTTCATAATTACCAGGGATTTCTACTTAGAACGGCACTGCAGACGCTGCACATACACATTCTCCAACAGGAGGGCAGGGAATGAACTCCAGTGTACAAGATGCTGTGAGTGCTTCGATTTCAGTGCACAACCTAATCTCATTAGAAGTCTAATCCAATGTTAGTTCAACCTTGGCTGGAAACTCGCACTATCAATCAAAGGAAGCGCATCGCCATGCTTGTTGGAATCCTTTGAAGGCGAGCGCTTGCCAGTGATCGCGGAGATGCTCAAGCTCTCGACCGACTTGCTCGATCGCTTCGTCCAGTCTGGTACCGATTCTAGGGCAGCCGTCCAAGAAGTGTCCGAGAGACGGCCTCACGATGTGAGAGAAGAAGACGAAGTGTGGTTCCGTGGTCGGAAACTTTATCAACTCGACTTGCACTACCGCTGGAGTCCGATTGTCGTTGATGAGAGAATCTTACACCCTAATCCGGGTTCTATGGACGTCTACGGCGTGATGACTAGCGAGAGAAGAGCTGGAGACCGTGCTCCCGACGCACCATCTCTAGTTAGAGCAAACGCTCCAGGCCGACTTTTTGACATATTCAACCCGGCAATGCACACAGTGTTGTTGTTTGTGACAGATCAATCTCTACTTGGGCAGGCACGCGCGATCATAGCTCCATTTTCCTTGATTGATTCGGAGTTGATACAGAAGGTGCTCGTACTCACTTCAGGCGTGGACGCATCGAGTAAGACAGTCAGTGACATGACGTACGTTGTTGTGGACTCGGAAGGACACGCATTCGCTAATTATGGGGTGGACCCATCGGATCGTTCGCCAACGGTTGTTGTTATACGACCTGATGCAATGATTGGGGCATTCCTTAAGACGGAGGCAGGCACAAACAAGTATCTTTCTTCCGTGTTTGGAATATGCCCGTAATTCTCAACACTATCTTGTTTAGTCGAGTTACACTTTCGTTATTTGGATAGAATCCCAACTCTGCTGTTTTATTGCCACGCGAAAGCAATATCATTGGAAGTCGTCTGTGTGAATTGTCATCTTTTATGCACCTGATACCCATCAGGAAGTGGGCAGTTGGATGCTCCTTGTGCCATGGTCGCATAATGAATCCCGTGATGAGAACGACATGCAGCTCAATTAGGTCCACTCCATAATGTCTATGCAACAGTGCCATCAAGATGGTAACACAAGTATCCTGTTATTGGTAACTAAGAACGTCTGCAAGCCATACTTGGATCAATCAACATTCATCTGCGAAGCTTAATCAGGACCTTTTGACCTATATGTAGCTGAAGAAGCTGCTTCACGCCTCAACTGAGCCAAGGAAATAGGCAGTAAATGGCACGGTACTGGATTACAATAACCTTGTGAACCCAACTTCTTTCTGAGATTCAAAGCAGTGAACTTCCACCATTATGTTCTCATACAAATAAAAGCATTTACGTTAGTCAGGATTGAGCACTATGACAGAAAAATGTTAACGCTTATCTGTTGAGAATAATTCGTGAGCCACAATGTAAAAACATATCTGTTGTCCCCTCTCTTTCTCTACTAAATAATTTCACTCCACATACAGGCTATGTTGTTATCCCTCTACTCTGACACTGAATATATTGATCCTAGTGAAGCACCCTCCAGATCTTAGAACTTGTTGTCCAACAGAACTTCTTCATTACAATTGCTACTGAGTTGGAGTATGATACCAGTTCACACTGTCTTGCACTAAGTATACTCTTTGCTTCTGATGCTGATGAAAGTCACTACTAGTAAAATGGATAATAAAGTGTGTATTTGCTCAGATATTTCCAATCAGACTAATATCAGTTTTGTTTGTTAGATAAAATACTTTTGGATAGGTTTTGTAATTCTGCTTTCTGTCTTTTATTTACTATTTCCATTGTTAATGTATGAAGAGAGCTCTAATTAACTCTGTCAGCATTATGTATCATGTGGTTTTGTTTTGTCAACCTATATATCTACCTTAATCTTAATACAGACTGCTGTAAGAATCACTACTCTAGAATAATAGGTGTAATTTCTCTAATATTCTGTAAGTAGTAATTTTGTTTGATTTGACAACTATTTTCACACTTGTAACAATTTCCTATTGTATTTAAACAGTACTTTTATACAGCAGATTTGAGAATGTATTTATCTTTCAGTCCAAACTGGATATGTGGAAAACTAACACTTTCCTGGATGTAAGCAAGATCTTTTGTTATCATTGATTATATTAGTAAACAGATACACTCTTAGTAGACTCAAAATATTGCTAGTATATACTCTGGTTTAGTCTTGAATCAGATTTTAAAATATATACAGGATAGATTACTTCTGTCTTGATTAATTGTAAGCTTTCTCTCAACACAGAGATTCAGTATTGTCTTTAATGAAAAGGAAATAAGATATATTAGTGATTTGTATACTTGTACTGTATTCTTAAACTAAGTTCTTAAACAAGTAATTAGAATCTTACTCATTTGTTTTTAAAGGCAAAAAAATTGTGTAGCTAATAATTGTGTTTGTTATTAAGACAGTAATAATGGTGGAATACTGATCTATTTGCCTTTCCTGTTACAGTTCTCTACTCTCTTACTTTCAGTTCTAAGGGTTCCACACCCTTCTGTACCAGAACTCAGGACTTTCATACCTCAGGAGCACTGTCTATAGACTATATGTGTGCTGACTCTTACTACTACCCTTCCTTACTTCATCATTCCATTCCTTTGACTACCCCTTCATTCTCTGTTCATTCTATAGTCTCTTACCCTTTGTCCATCCCTTCATTCTTTGTACCTTTATCTTTGACATTCCTTTCTTTCATTCTTCATAGCTTATCATTCTTAGTGGCTCATGCTCCCTGAGTACTCTTGTATAGTTTAGTATATATAGGTGTACAAGATCAGACTAGTCCTGTAGTCTTGATCTTGTCTACTCCAGGTAGTCCTGTACTCTTAGGCTCACTCTATATACTCTACTCTTGTCTCACTCTCTCTCTCTACCTGTTCTACAAGTTCTAACTATGTTCTAGTGCTTGTGTTCTGTATTTCTGTTATGTAGGATAGTTGTAGCCTGGGTCCCCTTGCTGAGCCTTTGGGTCCCCTCTACACTGTTACTAACATTAGATCAAGACTACCTATTACCACCCTACAACTCTCCTATGTTTTGAGTATTAGTACTTGCTGTTGTGTCAATCTCTTTTCTTTGTCCTAACCCTTTTACATTTTTAAATTTTAAACTTTTTAAACCCTTTTAAACTTTTGCCACCCTTCTTCTATTCATTACCCCTTTTAGTTTAGTGCCAATTCCTTTGTAGTGTAAACATAGACTCTCCTACACTGACTGCCACCCCTACTGTCCTACCAGATCAGTAGTTACAAGCAGAACTAGCTTAATATGTGTAGACCTCTATCTAAGAGGCCTTTACTAACCACATGCCCTCAGCCCCTTTAGAACCTATTCTGATTGTTCTAGAAACTATAACCTGTTCTAGAAAGAAAGTGTATGTAGTCTACCCTTTAGACTTTAATAGGTAGTACTTTGAGAACTTCTAGTACTAAGTCAAACTATACATAGTTACTACTTCAACCAATTTATTCTCAGATCTTAATTGTGTCCTATTTGTCCTCTCCTTCATAAAGGAAGGCAATGTGGCCACCTGGGCCTAGAACTGGATCAAAGGCTATTGGATCAGAAGCCTGATCTGACTTTAGAACAACAAGTTGTACTCAGAATTTATGAGGCAGCTCTGTACTTCCTTCATTAATCTGAATAAGAAGTACAATGTGTAGAACAAGCTTGTGTCTCTGTAACAGGGTAAACATTCTACTGATACCTTCTTTCAGGAGTTCAATATCCTAGCCTGGAAGGTAGGATTTGTACTCAGGTTTGATAATGTTCTTATTAGAATGCTTGAAAAAGCTTTTCACCCAGAACTGGTTAATAAGATTCTTAGAATAACACTAGAACTGGTCACTTACACTAAGTGGAAGACACACACTATCTCCTTCAACTAAACCACAGTTTGAATGTGTCAAGTCTGTACAGAATGCTTACACATGTGTCTGGCTCTAACAGTTCTAAGCTCTTGAATCAATCTGCCTATAATTTACAATCAATCTGTTCTAATAAACATTAGAGAAGCCTGAAAGTAAGGAGTATACTTTACTTACAGAAAGTCAGGACACTAAATTAAGGACTGTCTATAGAAGTAACAGTATATCTGTCAGGTCATTAGAGTAATGATGAGTAACAAGCAGGATTTGTAGTAAGAAGCCTTTTCTACAAATCCAGAAGTTACCTTAGAACTCCTAAACCCTAACTATGTACTCTAGGATTTTGTAGAGACTCAACAGTGAATGTAGTACTAAAGGGCTATGACTCAGATTTTTTAATAGCTACTTTTGATTCAATAGACACTGTAGGATTAGAAGTAAATAAAGTAAGAAAAGTAGAAAAAGTAGAAAAAGTAGAAAAATAAATTAACAAAATTATTTATTAGAAAGAAAAAGTTGAAAACAAAAGTAGATAGTTCTCCTATTTCTTCTGATTCTTTTGATTCTTCTCTTTACACTTTATCCAAGTCTAAATCTGTACAATCTAACCTACTACTTCTACATTCTAGAATCTTAGAACATTCAGAATACTACCTAGCCCTGTTTACTACTCAGTAGTTTGTCCATAGTATTAAGTAGGGATAGTCTCAGCTGAGTTTGTAGCTGAGGACATGAGTCTGTCCTTGTTGAAAGAGAGAGGTTAATAAGGAAATGTTAATACATATACTCACCCTCTCAGACAATAAGACTGTACAAGCTGTATGTTCCCTTTAGAACAAGTAGTAGTTTATTAGAGAATGTTCTAGACACTAGCTCTAGGTCCCTGTCCTCTTAGCTCCCTTCTCAGGATCCCCCCAGATCTGAACAATAGCTCTGGTAGACAGTAAATACACTAGTTTGTACATTAATAAGGCCTTTGTACAGGAATACTACCTCCCTACTTAACACATTCTACTTCCAATCCTAGTATACAATACAGACAGAACTCTGAACTAGAATAGTTGGATCACCAAGTTTGTCCAACTATAGATAACTATTCAGGATTATAAGGAAAGTATTAAGTTCAGAGTTACTAACCTTGGAAAGACAGATGTCTTTATTAGATTCAAATGGCTCAAGACTTACAACCCTACTATTAACTAGTTAAAGTAGACACTTGTGTTCAATCAGTGTCCTGAGTCTTGTGACTACCTTGTACTACTGTTCTAAGTAGATACAGATACTTCTAATGTTACTAACAGTTCTGATAAAGGTAACTAGTTGTTCTTCTTTGACTAGGATAGATATGTGGATACATATTCTAGTCAAGGCAGAACAGAGTCAATCTGAAGGATGTCTAAGACAGAACCAGTCTAGAACCCTCTCAGAACAACTCTACTCTAGAATACACATAGACCCAGCCTGTCAGATTTTGTCTAAGAGTTCTCTAAAGTCTTTAGTAAAGAGGAATTCAATCAGCTTCCTAAACACTGTCTCTAGGACTATACAATTGAATTGACTAAGGGTTTCTAACCTAAGGATTGTAAGGTCTACCTACTCAACAGAGACAAGTAGGAGGTGCTTGACAAGTTCTTTCAGGAAAATCTTTAGAATAGCTAGATCCAACCCTCAAAGTCCTCTATAGTCTCCCCTTTCTTCTTTGTCAAAAAGAAAGATAGGAAGCTCTACCTAGTCTAGGATTATTATTGTCTTAATAAGGGTACTGTCAAAAACAAGTACCTACTCCCTCTGATTCAGGAGCTCATTAATAAGATATATACATCTAGAGTTTTTACTAAGTTGGACATTTGATAAGGGTACAATAATATTTGGATCTGAGACAGAGATGAGTAGAAGACTGTATTCTGAACTAATTACAGATTGTACAAACTGACTATAATGTTCTTTAGACTAACTAACTTGCTTACAACATTCTAGTCATTCATGAATCACA